GGCAGACACTTCGCTCCAGCTTCAGAGAATGCCATCCCATCTCTTAGAACTAAGGTTCTAACAGAAATGGAGAAGTTCTTCAAGTTCTTATTCAAGTATATACAATACTAGTTTTCTTTCTCTGTATGAGATGATTATGTTAACCCCCTTGAAGTCTTAACCACTGTTTGCCATCCCATGTAGGATCCTATAAATTCTAGTCTTACTTTTATGAGGACTTTAATGGTAACTGCCATGTAAGACTGATTTTTTTAGTGGCTTCTTAGTGACAGTGCTGGACACTGTCAGGAACCACTTTACCTTTATTAGGGAAATGCAAGTGTCAGAAAAATAGACGATGCAAATGTAGATAGGGGAAGCAGAAGATAACTAACTTGGATCATTATTTAGGGCAGTTGGGGTCCATGAAAATGATGTCACCTGACCTCAGTTCCTCAAAGGAGACAGACAGCACCCAGGGGAAGGTGGGGAGGTAGGGAGAAGGGAGAATTTATAGTTAAACTTGTCAATGTAGTTTTTCATTTCAAACATAATCCATTTCATCGTTTTCCCTTTTTAGGGTCCTTGTACAAGCAAATGTTCATTGCAAAGAAATCATAATTTTAGAAAATGGCTCTTCATGATCCTAGAAATCTGTTTCATTGAGGGAGGGATGTTCAGGGTAAGTTAGTTGAAAGAGAGTCGGACCTAGAGAGAAAATTGAAATTGCATGCTCAGTGACACACTTGAGCCCTTTCAGAAATTCCATTTCCCTTCCCCTGAGCTCAAAATGAGAGACAATACTGCCTCTTTGAACGTACCTCCGTTTAGAGGTTTAGAGGCTTTAAAACTTCTATTTTCTTTTCCTTTTTTCCAAAATCCTTCCTTTGCCTTTTTATTGTAGGATACCACTGAATATCAAGAAACAAAATTTCTCTGGGGACTTCTCAAAAATGATCAAGTTAAAAATACAATGCCTCGCACTATCAAGCTGCTTTTCTTGGGTATTAAACAATGTAGAGTAGGTACATGCAAAGGGGACCGTCTTAGCGTCATCAATGGCAATGAAAAGTGGACAGCAACCTACCACCTTTATCAGTCCCCGTCAAGAGGAAAGCTACATTTAATTTATTAAAAGAATAAACTAAATACCAGCAATGTAGCACCCTATGAAATGGAAGATTATGCAAACATGAGGAAAGAAGATGTCAATCTATATTTGTTATCAAAGAGATATGTGTATTTTGTTTTAAAGAAATAAAAAAACCAAAAAACAGCCTGTCTGTTTTGGGGTGAGATTTCAGCAATAGCCCCTGACTGATCACCTCCTCCTATTCTTGCTGCCCCCTAATCCATTCCTCACTTAGCAGCCAAAGTGAGCTTTTCGAAAGAGACAAACCAGGCCATGCCACTCCATGGATTAAAGCCCTTCATGGGCTCGACGTTGGTCTTAAGACACCAGTGGAGGTTCCTTGTGGCCTCCTGGATCTTATGTGACCTGGCTCTTGTCCCCCTCTGCAACCTGCAACCGTACTTTCTGTGGCCTTTCCCTCCGTCTCTGTGGCCTCAGTCTTCCTTTCAGTTCTACAGCATGCCAAGCTGCCTCCACTCTAAGGCTCTTTCACAGGCTGCTCGATCTGCCTAGAATGGTCTTACCCTAGAACTGCCCAAGGCCAGTCCTCCTTGAGCGGGCCTCAGCTCCAATGCCAGCTCCTTGGTGAAATCCCTTCCTTCCCCCTCATCAGTTATAACCATGGTAATCTGTTGTATTTTCTTCATAGCTCTTGACTACTTGAAACTGTCTACTTGTTTGTTGTGGATTTTCCCCATGAAGCCATAAACGCCAGCAGGGCAGGGGCCTTGTGTGTCTTGCGTATTATCCTGCTCCCAGCCCTTCACTGCAGATGGTTGATAAATACAAGGAATATGGCCAGGCGCAGTGAGTGGCTCACGCCTGTAATCCTAGCACTCTGGGAGGCCGAGGCAGGAGGATCGCTCAAGATCAGGAGTTCAAAACCAGCCTGAGCAAGAGCAAGACCCCATCTCTACTAAAAATAGAAAGAAATTAATTGGCCAACTAAAAATATATAGAAAAAATTAGCAGGGCACAGTGGCAATGCCTGTAGTCCCAGCTACTCAGGAGGCTGAGGCAGGAGGATCGCTTGAACCCAGGAGTTTGAGGTTGCTGTGAACTAGGCTGACGCCACGGCACTGTAGCCCAGGCAACAGAGTGAGACTCTGACAATAAATAAATAAATAAGTCAGTCAGTCAGTCAATAAATACATGAGGAAAAGTGCAGAAGGATATATACCCCAAAATACTAATAGTGATTATCGCTAGGGAAAGGATTTCAGGGGATTTTAATTGATTGTTTTTCTTTCTGTTCATTTGTATTTCCTCGTTTTTCTGCAAAGATCATCTGTTACTTAGAGTCTTCTTTATCAATTACCCCAGCGCTTAGCCAGGCTGCAGGAAGTGGCTCTAAGGATTATAGACAGTTGCAGAGGATGTGTTATCTACACACTCGACGCTGTGCAGTGGGTGCTGTGCAAACATTTGCTGAATCCACTGAAGTGTTTGTTGCAAGGGAAGGCATTCCACCGAAAGCTCAGTACTTCGCTGCCCTCCCACTCTTTGTGTGGCAGGAGAGCATACGGCGTGCGTGCAGCAAGGTGCAGATGTGTACAGAGCTTTGTCTCCCGAGTTTCTGACCCTCGGATTCCCAGTTGTGTGCTTTTCTCTGGCAATCGCGGAGTTATTTTGCTCCAGGGAAAATCCATTATAAACAGCGGCACATGGGGCACTGGAGTGTGATTTGCTTCAGCACACACTGCTTTTTTTCAGAGATAATGTGGAGCTTTTAGTTCCACATGTAACAAGAGACTGGCTCAACTGTGTGCCTGTCTTCTAGGGAAAAAAAAAATCTGTGCTTTAATAGTAAGTTGGCCAATAATGACTCTGTTTTCTAATAGCTTTCTATCTTAGAAATTTAAGAGGCGTAGGAATTATGGCCTTAAAATAGAAGTTATTTCTTCTGTTTGTTTGTTTTTTCTGTTTATTAAAGGCTGACCCTGTAAATTTCCTCCCATTCATCTGAATGACTTAGAGCAATTCTTCGGGCTGTTAAGTACTTGAATGGTCATCCTTTTAGTCAGCAAAAACAGGTTTTCTTTAGCTGTGACACTGGGTGGTTAAAGTTCTAGCTCATTTGTGAAATTCATAACTCATGTTTTGACTTTAATGTTACATTCTGGAAATCCACAAATTGGGGGGGAGGGGGGAAGAAAGTAATCCAAGAGTAGAATACTAGATGACTAATTTAGAAAGAGAAGCTATTATCTCAAATAACTAAATCATGTTTCTTTCACATGGATTTCCATTGTTTTACATTCACCAGATTTGGTTAGCAGCACAGCCCTATAATATCACGTATACTTCATATCTGTGTAGCTTAAGCCTGACTCATTGATATTCTTCCCAAATTTAGGCAGCTAAGTGAGAGGGACAAAAACTTGTTTTTGTGATACAATGCTTGTATCACAAATGCCAAATAATGCATAGACAGAAATCATTTTTCCTCAGTGCTCAGCAAGAGTAGCCCTGTGAGATATTTGCCAAGAGTTGGAGTCATTTAAGTTCAAAACCCCCTAATGGCGTATGGAGTAGCAACCCAGATTGCTTCTAGAGCAGTGTCCAAATGAACAATTGGTTAGAGCTGCCTTCCATCCGAACACAGGCACTGCTTAAAGAACAGCGCTTCACACTGTGCTGATTACATGGGGTCCTAATAGCCCTGTTTAAAGACTGAAATATTTGGATAACTTTGAGATCTCCTTACTCGCACAGAGTTCTTCTTTAGTTTATAGAGTTGCTTGATTTTTTTTTTTAAACCTCCCCCCCAAAACCCCTTCTTTGGCTATCCAGTGCAACCGTCCCAGGATGCGTTCGATTAGAGGAGCAGGAAGAACTCGGAAGAAAAGGTGACTTACTCTAGTAGCTGGAATAGGGCCCCGAGGAAAAGCAGAGCTGTAGTGTGTGCAAATGTTGCTTGACGTGCGATGCCAGGGGAGGAGGCCGGAGCCCAGGGACGCCGGGCACCAGAAGGACGCCGCCTGCTCGGCTAAAAGCCCCAGCAGTGGGGCCGGCCATTGTAAAGCCCCTCCGCCAGATGAACAGGGACCCTTCTCTGGTCACAATGGCCATTCACGCTGAGCAGCCTCATTAAATATTCAGCCTGTGCTTCCGGCGGCTCATTAGGGCCGCAAGGAGCAGTGACGTGGACGCTGGAACGCCGAGGGCCGGCCGGCATCGGGAGGCAGGGGCTGAGTGAGCTGCTTGCTGATGGCTTTTCTCTTCACTGCCTGTCCCATGATGACCGGTGTGTGCTCCCTGCTTTGCCTCAAGTACAGGTAAAAACAAAACAATCAGGCAGGTGACACTTGAGGGCTTCAGGACCTTGTCTCAGATGCTGTCTGGCCAGGGCCTCTGATTCTGAGTGCTTGCCCCCCCGGAGCCCTCTGACCTCCTTCCAGAGCTGCCTGAGGCTTCGGGGACCTTCGCTAAGCACGAACAGTGCGGTGCCATTGTGTACTCGGGCCCTTTGATGACGACGCGTGAGGGGTACAGAGTGTGGTTTTGAACTTGGTGCTGGAGGTTTAGGATAGCACATTATTTCTCTAACATGTCAACTTTAGAAATATTATGGGGTAATCCTAGCAGTTTGTGCAGCAAGTTTACTCTGTGCCAAGTTTTCATGGATTGAGTAGTTCAGTTCTAACCCTTTCCCTTTTAACTATCGGTTGCATATGGTTATGATAAAAAATGGATATTCTTCAGCTATTTGGGACTCCCCTAATAGGCTGAATGTTGTCCTTCTTGTATCTTGTTACTTTTATACGGGTTTGCCCTCAGTGCTGTGTGATGTTTAAAGGTGGGAAATTCTGCGAAAGAAGAATTGAAAAATGACAGATTCCGGAAAAGTGTATGTTATTGTTTACATGTTTTTCTTTCATCTACACAGAAAATGTTTTCAGACTGCTCATTTCTACGTGGAAGATAGCAATTCCCCTCGGGTGGTCCCCAATGAAAGTATTCCCATTATTCCTATTCCTGGTAAGTAAGACTCCACTCTTAGTTCCAGCACGCTAATTGCTTTTCTCTTGTATTTTCAGTTTTATGTGATAGCCATGACAAAATATTTTTATAGCCGTTTTAAAGCTTGCTCTGTCTTAGAGATCCTTAACTAAGGGTAATTTAATGAAATCTTTTCTCCTTTACATATGTGCAAAGTAATAAAATCCTCCTCAAGAGGAACAAATAACTGAGTTAATATGGTATAGAGTCACAATGCAGGGAAGGGAAGTAACAGTTTAAAAAAAGGGAAAACTTACGAAAAATGTATATAATCTACTTGGACTAAATTTCATTTGAATCGGCAATTTGTGCATATTACATTGTCCAGTCACAATTTGTGACACTGTTTTTTGAAGGTGATTTTTCTTTTAAGATTCTTTACTCTGAAAATAATGTAACTTAATGTTAGAAGTTTTGGTTCTCAGGATGTTTGTGTGGAAGTATGTTACATTATTGGTCTGGTGTATATTTCATTGTCCTTGGGTAAAAGGATAACACACTTAGTGTAAGTGTTAGCGGTAGGGACTGGTGGAGTTACACTGTAGTGGATCCTGGCAAACGCCATAGACATTGGGAAGTTGGGCAGTGGATTGGGTGCAATTGATAGGATGTGGGATTGGAACATCTCACCACCATTTTTATTTGGCATCCCTTCTCTTTCGCCAAATTTGAACTTTGTACCTCTGGGTTTCATTATATGCTTCTAAATACCTATCTTCAGATATCTTAGATACATCTCTCCCCTTGACATTATTCTTTGCTTTTCTGACTCATTTTCTATAACACTTTCCAGCAACTAAGATGATATATATTTTGCTTATCTGTTGGCTCCCCCACTAGAATGTTGGCTCTCACTAGAATGAGAGCTTCATAAAGACAAGTGGCTATGTCCTCAGTGCTAGAATAATTCCTGGCACATAGTAGGCACTCTTTAACTCCATGAATGAATGTCAGCAAGACTTCCTTGAGGTTCTTAAAAGGTCATGGCTGTGAAACTCCGAGGTACAGTCATTCTTTGGGTACCAAAATGAAATGCTTCTATTGTTTGCAGACTGTCACTAGGTGTGGTTATGGTTGGGGACTTAACTGGCCTCTTATGTGTCAGTATATTGTTAAATTATTAGACATTGCTGGGATTGTCTATGTTCTCTGTCCATTCTAGTCAGCTCTTCTCACTAAAACTTGTCACACAGAACCAAGAGGGGTAACAGAAAAGTCTCTGATTAAGTTCCTACTGTATCATCTTGTGGCTGCTAAATGATTCCCGTACAGAGGGGATAGGTTTCATGTTACTGTGCGTTCTCTGCTAATCCTAGCCCTTTATCCTTCGTGAAGGAAACTGCACTCTTCCTTTGAGAGGAGAGAAAGCAGACAGGAATCATCAGTCTTCATCAGCACGAAATAAGTAGTTTCATTGAATCTACCAGACTTGCACAGTAGCATGCATATATTCATTGTCGTCTTGCTGAATCACCTAGAATACGTGTTGACTACTGGAAAATTCCTGGCAGCCGCTCTCCCCTCTGACCTGATTTGTCTGACAAGCACAGTTGTGGGGTGATTGTGCAATTGAAATCCACCTCTAAAAGGTTAAATGGTGAAATACTTCTTGGGCTGCTTTTTAAATTTTTATTTTCTTTTACCACTGGATTAAGAATCAGGAAACCCAGGATCCCACCCTGGCTCCACCTTGAAACTTTTGGTCAGTGCCTTGACCTCTCTGAGCCTTAGTTTCCAGAATCCATAGAGTGAACAGGACTGCCTGCCCTCCCGGACACTTGAGGCAGCTGTAAAGATCACATGAGATAATACATGTAAAAGCACATTGGCAGCCGTAAATTAAGCCAGAATCGTAAACCGTTGAAACTTTCCTTCCCAAATCATGGCACTGTCAGTCGTGCAGAAAGAGCACTTGCACAGCTCTGCTGTGAAAACTGTCCCTAACACTGAACCACATACACTGGGTGTGCCCTCCCTTGCCCTGCTCTTCTTTGATTTGGGCTTTAGAACTTTTTTTTTTAATTATTTCAGAATATTATGCGGGTACAGACGTTTTGGATACATGGATTGCTTTTGCACTGTTTGAGTCAAAGTTATAAGTGTGCCCATCACTCAGATAGTGTGCATTGTGCCTGTTAGGTGTGAGTTTACCTATCCCCACCCCTCCCACCTGCTTGATTTCTGATGAATGTTATTTCCATATGTGCACATAAGTGTTGATTGATTAGTTCCAGTTTAGTGGTGAATATATGTGCTGTTTGTTTTTCCATTCTTGTGATACTTAGAAGAATGGTTTCCAGTTCCCTCCAGTTAATCCAAGAGGTATTCAGCATTTTTTATGGCTAAGTAGTATTCCATGGTATACATACATCACATTTTATTAATCCACTCATGTATTGATGCTCACTTGGGTTGTTTCCACATCTTTGTGATTGTGAATTGTGCTGCTATAAACATTTGAGTACAGATGTCTTTTTTCATAGAATGTCGTTTTTTCCTTTGGGTAAATACCCAGTAGTGGGATTGCTGGATCAAATGGTATGTCTAAATTTTTAGTTCTTTGAGGTATCTCCATACTACTTTCCCTAGAAGTTGTACTAGTTTGCAGTGCCACCAGCAGTGTGCCCATCTCTCCTCATCTACACCATTTGTTTTGGGACTTTTAGTAAAAGCCATTCTTGCCAGTCTTAAATAGTATCTCTTTGTGGTTTAAAGATTTACATTTCCCTGATGATTAGAGATATTGAGCATTTTTTCATATGTTTGTTGGCCTTTAGTCTTTCAGTTCATTAGAATCCTCTGAAAATGCCATACATTGTGCCTGCCTTGCTACACCTCTGAGTAGGTGTCTCAGACCGGAAATTGCTTTTGAATGTTTTCTGCTTCATTTCCCAGCTACCTATTTAATTACCAAGTTTAATGCAACCCTAAGGCATTTCTTTAAATGTGTGTTTTTCTCCTCTTTTAAATGTGAGTTTCTCCTAATTCATACTCATTGGTAGGATAAGTATATGGGAAGAAAATTTGTTCAGATTCTCCACTGACTGAGAAATCCATGGTGTTTAGTTCTACCTCACTTAGCATAGGAGATGCATTCTTGATGATTTGTAACACATCTATAAAAATGAATTACTTTAAACGCTGTAAGGCAATGTGATGCTAAAGGGCTTACCTAGTCAAACTATGAGTGAGGCTAATCTTTCTCTATTTTCTCAGGTTTTCATAGACAGCATAGCCTTAATAGGGGCACAACTAAACACATGAGCTTACTTACCTGGGAAAGGTTTACCCTAAATGACCTTTCCTAAAAGAGCTTTCAGCTTGATCACAATCTCTTGTTTTTCTTAAATAAAACCCCACATCCTATTTAATAGTTATATTTATAAAATATAATTCATTAAACTCTTTTAACAATCTGTTATTCTATTTATATTTATGGTTTCTTCTGGTTGTAGCTGTACAAGTGTGTCTTACATAAGAAAAATACAATTTTTAAATAAATTCCTTAGTTATTTTCACTCTATTAAAGCTTTCGCCATAATTCTTCTTTATGGAGATCTCCATGGGATTATTTTAAATGATTTACCTTAGAGATATCTAGTTGTTCTTATTTCTATAAATAGTATGAGATTTATAGAGCTTTTATGGAATATTTATTCAATTTTACTTATATTTTATACTTTCTCAAAACCTAATAACAATAGTATTGGACCCCAGATTTATCAACTTATTTTATCACTTGCGCTTTTCATTTTCTATAAGTGATTTTTTATAAAAAAGATACTTCCAGACAACCACCAGTAAACTGAACCATTATATTGGTTAAAAATATGTGCAATGGGGTGAGACTGAAAAATCAGGTACCAAACTATTACAAAACTAGAGCTCTCCAGGGTTGTCATGATTGTAGAATATATAATAAAATAGTTTGTTCCTAGAACTAATTTTACAGTTAGCCTTTTTTAAAAAAAATCATCATTATCTAACAATTATTAAGCATTTACCGAGTGTTAGTTTATTTTCACTATAGTCCTATGGAGACAGATGCATTGATGTTCCCATTTTACAGAAGAAGAAACTGAGGTTCAGAAACATTATTTAATTAGCTGAAGGTTACATAGCTCAATAGTGGTGCAAACTTTGGAATTGTCTGTGTGACTTCAAAGCACAGATGCTTAGAAATGGCTCTGCCACCTCTTGGAATGGTACTGTGACAATTTTGAAATCTCAAGACTTCAGACTCCTCATTTGCATATTGTTTCATTAACTCAAGGCATTTTCAAATACTTGTGAATATTCTCCTTAGTTTTATCTGACTTCTTGATCATTGTCTCTTTCACTAGCACTGGCCAGTTATTTGCTTCTACATTAAATTCTCTTTTGTCCTCCTGGAGGGAGTTTCATAATTTTGGGGTTGAAGTTTCCTCCATATTAAAAAAATCTCCCCTCTCATCTCTATTGTCTAGTTACTTTTGTTCTCTTCCTTCCTAAGAAAAAGATTTTCAATCCAACAATGCTTCTATTCCCTGTGCAAAAACAGGTCTGTGTGATTTAAGTGACGTAGGGAGGAATTCACAGACATGTTGAATACTCCACAAATTCAGACACTAAATCAGCAACTTTTGAATGATTCTGCTGTGGTTGAAATTCATAAACAAACAGCTCTTATCATTAAATCCCAAAGCATAAGTGGAATCAGTAAGTTACACTGACTTTTGAAAAGTATTATAAAATAGGCAAGCAATTAAGGAAAGCTGCTAACTTTTTGATACTTATCCCTTGGAGACAGCATTTTATAGGACTTACTGGAGAACCTTGAATTATTATTATTTTTTTTAATTCTAACTGAAATTTAGTATTGTCAGTATGTTCTTGTGGTTTAATATAGAAAAGACAGTCTTTTAAGGAAGCTTTTTTTTTCCTGGTCTCACCCACACTTAAGGATAATGTAGACATGTTATATAGACTGTGACTATGAT